AAAAAACGCTTTGGTGCAATTCTTGTTGGCAAATAGAGATTTTGAGGTTGGTTATTTGAAAAATGAAATTCTAGACCTTTAAAACTCTTTAAATTTTGTTTTAGAGACTAATAGCTGAAATTTATTACACCAGGTTTGTTATGGAGTATAATGTTGTAGTGGAGGGGAAGGCACTGCGCTCGAATGTTCGCTATATGCGCTCTACCTATAACAAAGCCAAAGGATGGGAGGACTCAACCGGTTCAGGGAGTATGGATGGAGAAACCATTAAATGTAATTCTAGTGAATTACTTATTTAAGTTCACCGAATAATACGTATTTACCTTTTTTTACATTTTTTCTTTCAGCTGTCCTGCTTAAGAAGTGCACCTTCTTTTATGAATTAGAAGAAATTTTACATCGACATCTTTAATAACTGAAAATTTACCTGAAATGATTACTGAAAACGAACGAGTCGCTTCAACGAGCCGCACAATTTACAATTTCAGTCAGAAAGCATAAAATAGACCAGGACATGATTTTGAGGGAGAAGGAGATAGAGATTAGGCAAAGGGAATTAGTGCTAAAAGAAAGGGAAATAGAACTTAAAGAAAAGTAAGAATAGATACCCAAAGATAAGGAAATGGAAATGAAATGAAGAGAACTCAATAGCCAAGAAAAAATCAAAATTACGGAATTAGAAATGAAGGAAATATTGGCGATGGAAGAATTTAAGCGTAAATAAACAAACATTCTGAAAAAGTGCAGAAGTCTAAAGTTAAAAAAAAAAACGAAGCGTTAGTGTTATAATATTAACTGAAACTAATAGCAATAATTATCACACATTTTAAGTTTTAGCGAATTTACATACATCCCTATGCAGTCACTCACACTCAAATTGAGACAGGAAATTCTTTATAATTGTATAGCGCATTATGGCATTTTTTATTACATATTAGTATTTCATAACAATATATCGAGGGCTTATATTCAATACCTCTATCTGCAATTATCACAAAAACTACTTTGTTACAACCCATCTGGGACGTACCTGTCATCACTGATCTTAGACTTTGCAATGCAATAGTAAATGCGTATGTCAAGCGTTATACAAGGTCAGCAGTAACATCACCGATGACAGTTAAGTATTAGGTAGATTTTTATATCAGAATCTAAATTTTGCAGAAAAGTGCAGATAGAGGGTATGTAAGTACTTCAATTCAAACGATGACCATCAAAGGCCAGATCTTTACTCAAAACTTTGGGAAATACAAGAAATATCTATACCAATTGCTATCTTGCAATAGGTATGCAAAACTTCGTACTCGAAATAATTGATAAAAAAATTGAACTTTTTATAAGTTTCCCAAGGATTTGCATAATGTACATATGTACTTATATGTATGTTTTCTGAAGTACATAGGTAAGTATGAACTAATTTCTTTTATAAAATAATGACGCTACGCGCACTGCCATAAATTTGATACCGCACTTTGAGTGTGAGTGACTGTATGTATATGTAGTATTCATACTTAAAATATATAAATGTCTGAACATACATATAGCCCAGAGAAATAGAGGGCGTGTATATTTTTTTGCGATATAATACGTAACAGTTCCCTGCAGCAAGTCAAACTGGTTCAGAACTTGCGTTGAGCTAGCCTGAAAAGGGGCGGTACTGGTTCTTCACCTATCCCAACTCAATGCTTTGCCCTGTCTTTTTTAACATGGCGATGTCCTACGAAGTGACAATTGTCACCCTCTGCAGAACTTTTGAACTTGTTCTGAACTGACTCTGGCTTAGATGGTTCTGAGAAAGTTCATATAACAACAGTTCCTAGATAGTTCAAAAAGGGTCACTTCCGGGCTAGAACAAATGTGGTTAGTTTTGAGCTGGTTCCAAGAAGTATAGTATAGAGCCTTTTCTTTAAATACTGTAATTAAATAAGTACGCATACAATTTTGTAAATAAAAAATACTTCATTTCAT